TACTTGTGGTGGCCGGGGGGGTTTGGGGGGTGAGAGAGAGTTCTCTTTGCAGAATGTGCAATTTCAAGGCTAATTTGGTGCTTGATACACAGCAGACAATCACTCAGTAAGTGCTATTGACTGACAACCTGAAAAGCAGCCGGAATGCTCCTGGAATTAATGATTTCTTATCCCTTTCAGCCTGTTTTTATGTTGGCATTTGAAGCATCGTCCTCAGGCCTCTGTTTTAAATAAGTCATTTTGGATTCTTCTAGATCTTTAAGGTGCCTTTAAATTCTATGGCACCTTCTTCAAGGTTTGGGGTCAGACCTCCAAAGATGATGAATGTGAATGGAGGATCCATGGCTTCTACCATTTTAAATAATCTTTCTTCAAATTGGGTTGACAGTCACTGAGCACACAGAGAACTAAGCCATCTTTCCCCTGCTTGCAACTGATGTTCTGGCTGCCCTGACGAATAGAAGATTCCAGAAAGCACCAGGTGATGCCCATTTCCTCTTCCCATAGGTGCCTCTACCTCCGGTCTTGACCTGTCACTTCTAATTTGTAGATGTTTTGGGCGGTATCACCAGAAAAGTGACATTACAGCGACTCCCCCCTTTTGCATGTTAAGGTGAATTCCATCTTTGTGACCTTCCTTGGATGTATGAAAATGGGGTTATAAGTGGCAGGAGGGATGTTAACAGGCACCAAAGTGAGCTGAGTTTATTTACACAGGAAATGGTGGATAATTTGGAGCCAATGAGTATAAACTAGACAGAAGAGGAGACAGCAAGGGAAAAAAAAATTTAAAAATCAGAAACAAACAAACAAAAAAAAACCAGGAGCCACCAGGACAAAGTTGGAAAGAGATTTGAAAGGGGAAAAGAGGGCTGAGTTCAGATAAGGGAGGAAAAAGCTACAAGAGTAACTGTTGTGATCATGAGTTGCTGCAAAAGACAGGCAAGTGGAAAAAAGATTTTAATAAGCTTGCTCCGTATTGAGAATGATCTAGGGAATTATTCATCGTAGTAAAATTGCATTTCAAAAATTGCTGTTAAATGTCAGGTTGCTGTTCTTCTGAAAGCCACACTGTGCTAAGCCTAGGCCACCAGGGATCTCAGCTTTATAGGAATTAGAGAGCTTGTCACAGTGCCACCCAATTCTATTCTACCAGTTGGAAATGTATATAAATGAATCATGTTGTTTCACTCATCCCAACATTGGTTGATGAGAGGTTCCTCCCTAATACATAGCTCCACAGAATCTGAGAGCTGGGTAGAACTTCAGAGTAAATGCAAGCAGTCTGAAAGGCTCAACCCTAATGAACTTAACTTAAAAACAGTAAAATCTTTTGTGATGTCTAACGGTTTTATTGATTAATTTTAGAACTTGGGGTATTCTTTACATAGTTATTTTTATAATGGACTGTTTAAATTCTCAAACTCTCCAGTTACTGATTGATAGTCTTTTTTGATAAAAGCTTTGAGATATAATTCACTTATGGTACAATTAACCCATAAATGTACATATGGTACATTTATGTACACCATAAGTGTACAAGTGGTTTTTAGTATATTCACAGAGTTAGTTGTACAAGCATTACCACAATTTTAGAATATTTCCGTCACTCCAAAAAGAAACCTCATACTGTTTCACTACTACTACTGAACCCTACCATAGCCTTTTCTATAACCAAGCACTCATCTCCCTTCTGTCTCCACAGTTCACCTGTTCTAGACACTCATACAAATGCAGTGACAATTTGCCATCTTTCATGACTGACTTCTTTCCCCAAGCCTCATGTTTTCAAGATTTATTCACGTTGTAGTATGTATCAGTGATTTTTATGAACCTTTTTTTAGCCACATAGTATTTCATTGTACACATCTACCACATTCCCTTATTCATTCACCAATTGATGGACACTAGGGTTGTTTCAAACTTTTGGCTATTTCGGCTACTATAAATAATGCTGCAACGAACATTTAGGTATAAATTTTCGTGTGGACGTATGTTTTTATTCTTCCTGGATATAGACCTGAAACTGGAATTGCAGAGTCATTGAGTTACTCTATATTTAATATTTTGAGAGATTGTCAGACTGTTTTCCAAAGTGGCTACACCATTTCACATTTCCACCAGCAACATAAAAAGGTTCTAATTTCTCCGTATCCTCACCAACACTTGTTTTTATGTGACTTTTTTGTTATAGCCATTCTAGTGTGTATGAAGTAATTCAATGTGGTCTTGATTTGTATTTCCATGATGTCTAATGGTGTCAAGTACCTTTTTATGTGCTACTGGCCATTTGTATAAATAACAGAAGCACATAAAATGTGCTACTGCTCATTTTTTAATTGAGTTAGTTCTCTTTTTATTCTTGAGTGGTATGTGGTTTTTATAGGTGCTAGATACAACTCCCTTATCAGATATATGACTTTCAAAAATTTGCTCTCATACTGTGGGTGGTCTTTTCAATTTCTTGATAGTGTCCTTTGGAGTATGAAAGCTTTTGATATTGATGAAACCCAATTGATATTTTTTCTTTGACTGTGCTTTTGCTCTATTGGGCCATTGCCAAACTGAAGGTCTTGAAGATTTATCTCCATGTTCTCTTCTAAGAGTTGTATAATTTTAGCTCTTACATCTAGGTCTTTGATACATTTTGAGTTAAGGTTTCTACCTAGTGTAAGGCAAGGGTCCAACTTCATTGCTTCACAGGTGGATAGCCAATTGCCCTGGCACCATTTGTTGAAAAGACTTTTCTTTCCTTATTGAATGATCTTGGCACCCTTGTTGAAAATCAGTTAACTACAGATACATTGGTCTAATTTCTGGTCCCTCCGTTCTACTCAATTGTGGCAGTACTCTCTTGATTACTACCATTAGTTTATAAGAAGTTTGAAATCAGGAAGTGCGAGTTCCCCTACTTTGTCCTTTTTCAAGATTATTTTAGCTATTCTGAGTCCCTTGCAGTTCTGAAATTTAGACTCGGTATGTCAAGTTCTACAAAGAAGCCAGCTGGATTGTGTTAAATCTGTAGATCAATTTGGAGAGGACTTCCATCTTAACAGTATCCCAGTCTATGGAATTGGGATCTCTTTCAATTTATTGAAATCTTATTCAATTTATTTCAACAATGTTTTGTAGCTTCCAGAGCATAGAAGCTTTGCACTTCTTTGTTAAATTTATTCCTAAGAATTTTATTCTTTCTGATGCTATTATAAATGAAATTGTTTTACTTTCCATTTAAGATTGTTTGTTGCAAGTGTATAGAAATATAATTAATCTTTACATATTGATATTATATTCTGAAATCTTGATGAACTCATGCATTAGTTTTTCAAGTGTTTTAGAGGGTATCTTAAAATGTTCTACATACATAATCAGGTTGTCTGTTACTAGAGATAGTTTTATTTCTTTGTTTCCCATCTGGATGCCACTTATTTTATTTTCTTGATGAATTGCCCTGGCTAGACCCTCAGGCACAATGTTAAATAGAAACGATGAGAACCATATATCCTTGTGGGTTTTTGGGGATGTCCTTTAGCAGGCTGAGGAAGTTCCTTCTATTCCTAATTTGTTGACTGTTTTTTAATCAAGAGAGAATGTTGGATTTTGTCAAATACTTTCTCTATTGAGATGATCTTTTTGTTTTTTATCATATTGATATGGTGCATTACATTCATTGATTTCAAACATTAAAGCAACCCTGCATCCTTAGGATACATCCTATTTCTTCGTATGCTTAATTCTTTGTGTATGTTGCTGCTTTCTAGTATTTTGTTTGCCTGTATATTCACAAGAGACATTAGTCTGTGGTTTTCTTTCCTTTCAATGTCTTTAGTTTGGTATTACAGTGACACAAGACTCATAGAATAAACTGGGAAATGTTCCCTCCTATTCTACTCTTTGGAATCGTTTTGATATTTTCTCTTTCTTTTTCTTTTTGAGATGGAGTCTCACTCTGTCGCCCAGGCTAGGGTACAGAGGCGAAATCTAGACTCACTGCAACTTCCACCTCCCTGTTCAAGCAATTCTGCTACCTCAGCCTCTTGAGTAGCTGCAATTACAGATGCCTGCCACCACACGCAGCTGATTTTTGTAGTTTTAGTAGAGATAGGGTCTCACCATGTTGGCCAAGCTGATCTTGAGCTCTTGACCTCAAATGATCCACCCGACTCGGCCTCCCAAAGTGCTGGGATTACAGGCATGAACGGCTGCGCACAGCCGATATTAACTCTTCTTTAAGTGTTTGGTAGTAATTCATTCATTTTCTTATTCATAAATATTTTCCCAGGGCCTCCTAGGTACAAGGCACTTTTCTAGACACTAGGGATACAGTAATAAATACTTTCCCACCCTCAGAAGGCTAACATTTTTGCCAATTTTGAGGGTTTTGATACCCAAAACGTGAATATTTGGTTTACTTCTCCCCTTCCTCATATTAACTTAAGATTTAATATCAACAAAAGAAGTATAAGATGAGGACATAAATATTTAGTTTTCTGATTCCCATGGGCTCCATTTAGGATTTAGCACAAAATGAACTCTCTCTCTTACTCTCTCTTTTTCCTCTCCCCATCCCACGTAACCTCATTTTCTTTTTCCCTCTTGCTCCTTCTCTCCTTCCATATTCTAAGGTCTACCTCCTGGTCACGGCCCTGCCTCCCTGCTGACTCTTTCCTCCCCCCCGCCCCCCAAGATGGAGTTTCACTCTTGTTACCCAGGCTGGAGTGCAGTGGTACGATCTCGGCTGACCGCAACCTCCGCCTCCTGGGTTCAGGCAATTCTCCTGCCTCAGCCTCCCGAGTAGCTGGGATTACAGGCACGCGCCACCACGCCCAGCTAATTTTTTGTATTTTTAGTAGAGACGGGGTTTCACCATGTTGACCAGGATGGTCTCGATCTCTTTGACCTCATGATCCGCCCGCCTCGGCCTCCCAAAGTGCTGGGTCCCTACTGACTCTTACTCATGCAATCTAATACAGAATTTTAAAAAAATATATGAGTACCTTACTAAATTAATCCCTGCTACTGTATAAACTAGCAAATGCGTCATCTTCCTTAGACTGCTCGTCTTTGAGAAGTGATGAGAATTGCAGGTTCTACGGCATAGGGGAGGCATTCTTGGGTGTGCGCAGAGTGTCAAGGGCTTTATCACTCTAATCACAGCATCTTGACAGTTTCTACTAGAGGCATGACTTGTTCTGACCTTGCCTATAAAGTTTTTCCCCAGGGGTTACAGGAATTTGTTTGCATTCAGAACAAGACGTCTGTATATCTGCCAGAGATTCTGGGGATGGCCAATGCTCCCTGAGATTGCTGAGGCAGAGAAGGACCTTTCAAACCGCATCCCCAGCAAAAGAGCATTATTTGTCCCCATATAAGATGCAGCAGAGAATTCAACCGAAGACAGCCACATGATCCCCTTTGATGGGTTGATTTGATGCTCAAGGAGGATTCTTCTAGACAGTCTTATCATCAGTGCCTGAGAACAGAAGCTTCAGAAGCCAATTCTAAGGAAGAAGCGAATCTCTACAGAATTGACCACTCGCTGTCCTAGTGATCACAATCATAGAACCAGTACAATTGCTTCTCTGCTGATACATTCACTCACAGCCTTCAACAAACATTTGGTGACCACTTACCCTATACCCAGGACTGTGTCGAATAATCATGAAGCTAAGTAAGAAGAGGCTCTATTCTCCAGGAGTCCAAGCTCAGTGGGGAACTCCCGGTCCAGAGTAGTACAGAAGACAAGGTACTTGCTCCCAGTTTAAACTCCTCATGCTACCGGAGGACCTGGACAAGAAAACATGATGCCCTGAGGTTATGAGCTACATTCAAAGTTTCAGTACAATGAAATTAACATCATAATATAAACAGGAACATTCCAGGGATCACCTGCACATCCCAGAATTCCATAATAAAATAAATAAATGTCTATGAGCACCTCTTTGTGCCAGGGACTATGCCAAGCGTAGAACACAACACTGAATAAGACACAATCCTTTCCCTTTGAAAGGGATAAATTTAGGTCAATAGCTCAAATAAGGGAGCAACTCTGTCAAAAGTGATAAATTTCTAAAAGATTCAAAGAAAACTATAAACCGAAAGGATTATTGTCACAAAACACACTAAAGCCCTTGTGAGGCACAACTTACTAATTAACAATGTTCCACAAAGACTCAAGGTCCTTGGCAATCTTCAAATGAAGTGTCAAATTACTCTCTTAACTGATCTGCTGTTTTGCTTTTGACACTGAGTCTGGCTCTGTGGCCCAGGCTGGAGTACAGTGGCACTATCTCAGCTCACTGCACACCTCTGCCTCCCAGGTTCAAGTGATTCTCCTGCCTCACCCTCCTGAGTTACTGAGATTACAGGCGCGTGCCACCACACCCAGCTAATTTTTGTATTTTTAATAGAGACAGGTTTTACCATGTTGGCCAGTCTGGTCTCAAACTCCTGACCTCAAGTGATCCACCCACCTCAGCCTCCCAAAGTGCTGAGATTACTGTGCCTGGCTGATCTGTTTCTTTTTTAACCGAAAACATGACTAGAAAGATACCTTTCCTGCATCCTGGTAGCACAAACCATTTAACATCTTTAATAAGGCAGAAAGTGATGTAAAATAAAATCCCCTCTAGGCCAAAATGCATACTTAGCATAGATTTGTGTGGGTTTTTGTTTTTCTGATTTCCACTGTTAGTTCCAAGATTTGCCTGGTGCCCACTCTGTAGCAATTGTACAGCAGAGCTGAGGTCTTTATAAGAGGAAGGGAAACAGCCCAGGGATGAGGTCCCAGCCTTGGAGCAGGGACTGGGGGTGCTGGATCCTGCTCCAGGAATTTATGGTCCTGGACGGGAGTGAAGACACAGCTACAGTACTTTAGGTAGAAGGTGAAGTCCTGATTAAACCCTGTTAGGGCAGGAAACTTAAGACACACTGCCCCAGGGACAGATACTCAGGTTCTCAGGGCTGCTGGAAGGGTTGTCCACCTGGGCTCAAGCCAAGCACAAGCTTGACAGAGAAGAACTCAGAAAGGCCAGAAAGGTACGTGGACCAGAAACCACATCCTCTTAAGGTGGCAGTTCACCATTTAGGTGAAACAAGAGGGAAAAATATTTCAAATGTACAAAGTGCCACTGTTCACCACCCTCCCTTGCTCAGTCCCACACACCCATCTCCCAGCCACATTGGGATCTTCTGGCTCTGGATATGACTACGTTCTTCTTCGAGGTCTCCACATATGCTGCATTCTCAAGTGGAATATTCTTTCCCCTTCTCTCCCTTGGGTAATGACTACTCGTTTGTCAGATGTTAGTTTCAGTGCAACTTTTCCAAAGCTCCTTTCTGTGAATCTTCATTCTAAAACAGAATGTCTCTGTTGGCCTTTCTCATGGAATCTTACATACATTTGCTTCAGGGCATTTTTCAGTCTGTGGTTATGTATTTGTATTTAGATATTAATCTGTCCCTACTACTAGACTACCTAAATGAGGGTGAGAATCTCATTTGTTCACTGCTGTATACCCAGTGCCGACCGCATAGTAGGGTGCAAAAAGATACATGATGCTAAATGGATTTCAAGCGTGAGATTTTCATAGGTCAGAGCTAAGGCCAATGGAAAGAAGACTGTACCAACACTATAAATAAGAAATTCTTATGTCCTTATTAGCATCATAATCAACATTATATTTGTAATATAAATTAATTATAATGTATTTTAGTTAGTTTCCTTGTCATGTCAATACGTAATGAGATCTCAGACACCAACAGGGTTTGAGAGGAAGTGAGATGATCCCCTTGATTCTGAAAACAAGAAGGTGTTGGACATTGCCTGTGTATCAAGTACTTTGCTAGATGTTGAAGATAGAAAAATAAATAAGAGAATATAGATGATCCCAAGGAGCTCCTCTTTGGTGATCATTCTTAAAGAATGAATTTGGGCTAGGAAATCTACAATAATCCAGACAGAAATTTGTTGATCAGATTATAGAAGTCACCTAGCAAACTCCATTGGGACTGACTTACAGACAGGTCCACTGGGATGGTGCAATGAGAACCTGGAAACAGCATCTTCTCAGCTTCTCCATGCCTGCTCCAGCAACAGCACTTTACGTGGCATGAGTTGATAGATGATCTCTGAGTTGAATAAAAGGCATGGATCTGGAACTTGGAGTCCTAGAAGCAGAGATAGCCCCAGATGAAGCAGTTGTGTGAGGAGACCTCAGAGACCCAAGACCCTGGCTGGGGAAGGCAAGGAGTGAAGAGAGGGTTCCAGAAAGAGTGTATTAGTGTGTAGGGGCTGTTGGGGATGTAAGCAACACATTTGTTTTCTCATGATTCTGGAGGGTTAGGGTTGAAGACTGAGATCGAGGTGTTGGCAGGGTTGGTGTCTTCTGAGACCTCTCTCTGTGACTTGCAAAGAATCGCTTTTTCCCTGTGTCTTCATATGGTCTTCCTTCTATGTGTGTTCATGTGCTAATCTCCCCTCCTAAAAAGAACACTAGTCACATTAAAATAAGGCCCATCCTAATGAGCTCACTTAACTTTAATTACCTCTTTGAATACGCTGTCTCCAAATACAGTTGCATTATGAGGTAATAACCCCTTGAAAGGGGTTGGGACTTTGACACCTAAATTTGCAGGGGAACACAGTTTAGCCCATATCGACAAGGAAGTAGTATATTGAAGACAAATTGCACTTATTTCACAATTTTCACTTTAAAATCAACTTAGTCCCCTCTCTTTAGTCTTGTCCATATTAAAATACCACTGCCTGGAAAAGAAATACAAAGAAACCTGAAGCAGCAATGAGCTCACACTTACATTTACCAAGAAGGTGGGACACATTAAGCCAGTAGCTCCCAACACCAGCTCATTAAAAGGTGGTCTTAGAATCCATTTTTTAAAATCTAGATTACTAGGCTCCATCATGTTACCAAAACATCAGGGGTTTGGTCTAGGTCCTGCTGCTTGCCACCCAGAAAGCCAATCAATCACTAATACAATGAGTATTTCTAGAGAAGAAGGCTTTAAATGGGTGCTTTAGCCAAGGAGATGGGAGATGAGTCTCAAATCCATCTCGTTGACTGACTAAAATTTGGTATTTATATAGCAGGGAAGAAATGTAACCATGCAGTAAAACAGGAAATAGGGAGGGGTAAGAAAGAGGAGCTGGTCAACAGGAAGCAGGTAGTCAGGCAATCATAATGGGTGAGGGTCTGGCATCTCATTGTCCAGACGCAGTGATCTGGTGATCTTCAGTTCCTTGATACTATCTGTGGGGCTGAATAGTTGGTTTCCTGAGAAAGGAACTCAGATAAGACAAAGGCAACTTTCTCAAGTTGCAAGACTAGGTGGATCAATCTCCATGTTTATTCAAAAGAAAACATAAAAATCAGTTTTATGGGACAACTGGGTCAGTTTCAGTCATAAACTTATGAATTAGAAATTATCTAGTGAATCCATATTTCTCTAAATGTCCTTAAATGTTTCTAGTAATTAGTAAGGTTTGAGAACCACTGCTTTTGACTTTCTAGCAAACCTAATAATCGTTTTCATGTGGAAAAAAAGTGTGTCTTGCCACTTCCATGGCAAGACTCCCCCCACCCATCCCCCACCCCTGCTAAGGAAACTCTGCATATTATAAGTAATATATAAATATTTCAATTGAGCTTCACCAAAAAGTTTGCAAATAAAGTTGAGACTAAAACTTAAATAATTCACATGCATTCATCCAATCATTTATTAGAGTCATTTAGCTACCAAATATTGGTGAGTACTTGCCACATGCCAGGCTGGATGTAGATGCTAGGAATGGTGTGGTGAACACAATGTGGTCCCTGCCTTTGGTCCCACTCTTGTATGTTTCTGTGCATAAAGTCTCCTGCTTTCAGAGGAGGCAATGAGATTCTTCAGTTTCTGGCTGCTGTCTGAGGTTTAGACTCTTCAAGGTGAGGAATGTATTTGTTGCCAGGCTGGAGTGGGGAACTTCTCCTGAGGATTGTGGCCCAGTTGGAAAGCCAGCCACAAATCATGCTCAGATTGATAGTGCTCTTAATAATAAATTATCTCCTGGTCTTATGCCTCTGACGGTGTTGTCAAGAAGGACATTAATCCTATGCTCCCTTTAATCACATGCCAGGGTGGCATAAAAGCCAACTGAGAGAATAAAGGTACCTACGCAGCTGGACATGGCAAACTGTTTAAATGACAGCTCTGGCTCAAACAGCTTTTCCACTCTGTGTGTGTGTGTGTGTGCGCGCGCGCGTGTGTGTGCACGCACGAGCGTATGATTCTCACTGGCATTTGTAGATGCATTTCCAACTCAGCACTAAGGGTAACCATAGGCCTGGCCTGTTGGCCCCAGACTAATAGTGAGGACATGGCATTTAGCTGAGGTTGATTGCCCTGCTTGGTTTCCAGCTAGTCAAAGATAACACCAGGGTCCAGACGGCAGCGATCTTTGCTTCTTTCTGAATAATTGGCAAGTTAAATACAATTGTGCCAACAGCCAAGGACACTAAGATATTCCTGATTGTTAAAGACACCAAGCAAGTGTGAAGGGGATGATGAAACACAAATTAGCCTCACCTAGGATATGGTTCTTTAGGCCGGCCTTCCTATTGGTTAGTTGGGAAAACGCAGACTGCCTTTGGTTTGAGACCTGTTATCCAGTCCAGCTGGTGCCCACAATGAGGAGATTCTTTGGGACTAAATAAATGGGACTTGCTCACTCTTATCTTGACCTCATGTTTATTCCTCAGCTCTTCTCTTATCATACAAACTGGGTCCTATTTTTCTAGGACAATATTCCAACCTACATCTGCTTTAGAACCAAATAAGTCTCTCCTGTTCCCTCTCCACTCCTTGCAATAGTTTTTCTTGCCTAATATGCAAACCCCCTTCAATTACATGACTGGACCAAGAAAAATCTACCTAGCCTTAAGCCAATAACTCCAGATGATCAGAAATAAACACCAGAAATGCTAAGGTCTGTTCTAGTGTTGGCCAAGAGCTCTTTATTTTTGCATGCTTAATAGAGCAGAGAAAAATCGATTCAAGCCTGGAAGAATGTGAGTGTAACTGTAGTTCATTGATGATCAGCTACTGCTGTGTTCTCAGTAAAAGGGTGGGCCTCCTCTCTCTAACCCTAATTTGATTCAAATACTTTTATGCTCCAGTTCAGCTATTTGAATGAATGTCAGCTCCCATAAATGGGGAGAGAATTGAGGCCTCAAGATAGACCGGGATATTCAGCTCTCAACTTACCCCAGCAAGTTCTAACAATACTGTACCATCAGGCATAAGCCATTTTAAACTCCACCTTATTCTCAGCAGAACCTGACTCTCAACAGTAAATTACAGGAACAAAGAGCCATCCTCTTGAGGTAGGAAATGGGAGATTAGTAAGAAGTCGAGGGCATAAAGATGAGTTACATTTATTTATTTTTAATGTAAGTGCTCCTTTTATTATCAGATTTGGTGCTCAGGAGGATATGGAGGTCAAAGAGGTATGGAAAATACCCATGGCTGAGATTATATAATACCATTCTAACAAGGTAACAGAAGTGCCATAAACTCCCTGCATTTAATATCCTAAAGGACAGCTAGCAATCTCAAGGACTAAACAGCTTAGGAAATTTCCTTTAGAGATAAAAAGCATGTCCTCAATCAAAGGGCTGTGGACTCGGTCACTCATTCACATTTTATGATGACACAGGATGGTTTGCTAACAAATCGAGAAAACAAACCATATCCGCAAATGCCAGCTACAAGGCAAAGCTGGGAAAACACATCTACATATATTGGCCATTTCAAATGAAATAAAAGCTTTCTGATTAAGGTTTGGAGATATTTTTCCCCTTGTTTTCATCACAAAGAAAAGAGACATGGAAAGAAGAGAAGAAACGCAAATCCCACTGCTCTTTGAAAGGTAGATGACAAGGCCCACAGGATCATATTTTTCTTGGATATGTACATTTTTATACAATTAAACATTCCTGGATGTGGGCTCTCTTAGGAAATTTATTCAACAACGTAATCACTAGCCAGAAACCATAGAGTGAATGTTGAAGAAGCTGACCCACATATTTTCAAGGTATCATTAAAATAAATCTTTTCAAAGATGCTCAGTTCTTTTGGTGATTCACCTAACTGGTCAATGGTCCAATTTCTCTGTCTAATGTCTTTTTTCCATGAACAGTTTCTCAGCAGAGGTCAGGTGAGTAGCATTCACCACTCACCACTCAATGCGCTACATTGATTTAGGACAGAGAAAGTCACAAGAGAATGTTAGTACCACCTCCTCAACCAGAACAAGTGATAAGGTCTGCAAAACAATAATATTTTTCAGTTCATCAGAGAGCTGAGATTATAAAGCAACCTATTGAATTAAACTCATGCCCCTCCAAAGAGAGAGAAACATGCAACTTTTTCATTCCCAACTTGTAGGCCAAAAGTGGACATAATCTCCAAAGGGGGAAGAATCTGACAGGTTTTGTCAACATTTCAAAACTTCTGATCAAGCTAAACCAATTTAAAAATACCTATTAGATGGCCAAGAACAATAGTTCATTCCTGTCATTTCAGCACTTCGGAAGGCTGAGGTGGAAGAATTACTGGAGGCCAGGAGTTCGAGAACAGCCTGGGCAAGTTAGCAGACCTGTTTCTATAAAAAATAGAAAAATTGCCAAGGGTGGTGACATATGCCTATGGTCCCAGCTACTCAGAAGGCTGAGGCAAGAGGATCCCTCAAGTCTAGGAGTTTGAGGTTACAGTGAACTATGATTGTGCCACTGCACTCCAGCCTTGGTGACAGAGACCTTGTCCCCCCCCCAAAAAAAAAATTAAGCCCTGTAAGTCACTTACTAATTATTCATAAATAATTAAGAATGACTAGTGTTTCGCATGTTATACGCTAAACTTTATATATTATACCTACTAACTCTTGAATCAAATGTTGCCATTGAAAAACTTTTCATAGATAAATAAGTCAAAGCTTAGCAAAAGTGAAATAATTTGCTCAGAAACGATTTTACAAAGCCTTTAGTCCAGACCAGGCTACCCTTCCACTGCTGCTCATGATCAGAATGAAAATCATGAGGTGCTGACATGGCTAAAATTTTCTGAATAACCGAGGAAGATTTTCTTTCAAGTCCCAAGGAATCATTGTGACA